AAGTCTCTAAAGGAACTACCCTTGCTCATTGGCTTCTGTAGTTCCAATTCTGGCTAACTGTTCTTGCTGACTGATGTGTGTCAACCCAGGATGTGTGTGGCTTCTGTGCTTAAAAGCTCATCCTGAGAAAGGCTCTGGGCTACACTGGGGTATTGAGCACCTAGTGCAGTCACCAGCTGGCTAATAAAAACTTTCTATTGGCTTGAACCAATGTTCAAGTAGTCTTCTCTGCTGGAGAAACTCACAACATGGGTCATTACAAGGGTCAAAACGATTATGGACTGACGGTCCTGGAGAGATTTCCGCTGATCTCTCACCAGTGTGGATTGGTCTGAAATCTGTGAGTAAGACCCTTAAATATGCCAGAGTTGAGCAGAATTGGCACTGAGCTGACCTGGTTTGTGATTAGCTCTGTGTTGGCTTCAGCTTATCTAAGATAACTTTCCCTCATTTGTACATAAGTTCCAGGCTTGTCAGGACCCTGCACTGTACTGACCTATTTCAGCTCGAGTTTTGAGTTTAGCTGGCCTGGTCTCGTCTTTACATGAAATGAACTGTTTGTTCAGCAAGGGCCAGAGAATGAGTTCTTCTGAAGGCTGGGTTAATAATGACTGTCAGCATTACAGAATTACCTGGTAACTAAACCTTGGAGTAAATCTGTGAGGGAGTTTTTATATTAGGTCATTTGGAGTAGGAAGCCCCATCCTGACTGTGGGTGAGACCTTTCCACAGGCTGGGGCTCCAGCCCAGTCCTGACATTCATTGCTTTCTGCTTCCAGACTTTGGATGCAATGTGACCAGCTGCCTCAAATTCTGGACACCATTGGAGACTGTATCCCTTCCTATTTAAAGACCCCCTTGTTGCTTTTTTGTCCCATTGGTGAGAGAATTTACTAATGTAGATGGCATATATCCCTAGCAAAACTAGCTTGTGAAACATATTAAATAGGATCTGTCTTGGACTGATAATTGACCCATCTACAATATGAGCTTATATTTTAGAGGGTTCTTGATCAGTCAGCATTGAGTTACATTCCATCCTGAGTGGGTTTCATGCCTTCATGGCAAGGGTTGTTAGCAGGCCCCAAAGGCTGGGGCTTTGGAATGAATCAAGAGCTTTTTTATGCTGAACCTACTTGGAACTAGACTCAGCTTGGCTTTGGTGGGAGTGTTAATGTTCCTGAGTTGAACAGCTCTGGCCATTTCTGGACTGCAGTTGAGGATTGCCTGGCCTCCAGGACACCCTCATGACATCTCTCTCAGATCACTTCAGCGCCTGGGCTTTGCTTGATTATACTGGCACTTTTGTTTATCCTATTACCAAAGCCAACATGGCTCAGATTCTTCAGAAATTCTGTTGTTCAAGATAAATACTCTCCTGACCTTTTTACACATGGTGTGTGGTCTGGGTGACCAGGGAGACATCCAAGAGCCTACAAATAGTGGGTTTACCCGATTGACATGAAATGTACTAGAATGTATCAGATTTGTCCATATTGTTGGCAACTATTTATTAGAGAAACAAATTTTATTTGTCTGCATTGTCTGGAGCCTTTTTTAGGGCCTTGGTCAATAGCCCAAGGATCTCTTTGGTGCCCAGTGAGATTCTGGGAAGATAAGACGGCAGTGTGATAGACAGATGGTTGTGATGCGGCACCTAGCAGGTGTCTGAAGCTTGACTGCGGGACCTGGACCACGGGAGGGAAGTCAACAAGGCAGTGAGTCAGTAAGAAGTTGATAGGCAGGCATGTCATATTTAATAACTACTATCTCAATGAAAGAAACTCTGCCCCCTCTGGTATGGCAATCGCTGTGTCAGACTGAAGCCTTGGCATGTCAGTCTAGGGGCAAATTCTCTAATCTCTTGAAAAACAAAGAGTTTGAGATTTATGGAATCCTTAAATATCTTGATACTTTTCCTATTGCAGATAAAACATCTACAAGAGTCACAGACTACCCACTTATTCTCTTATTTCCCCGGAAAGGAAGGTGTTTCCTTGCTAGTGACTGAGCACAGGGCCTCCTCCCTCTGTTGTTCTCCACAGCAACACTCCTTAGTGAAATTGACACTTGTCAAAGTAATGGAGGTTTCCTGGGACTTATTCTCCTGACTTCCACAGCTTGTGGTACTGTTTTGATCCCTTCACACCCTGGTTTCTACCTGTATAGGTGGGGGAGGGGGAGGACCAGGAAGGGGAGGCAGCTGCAGTGGCTAAGGTAGCAAACTGGAGATGACCAGCTTGCACCAAAAAGGGCTCTTTGTAAAAACCTGGAGGAAAGGCCAGGGGCAGCTGGAACACTCCAATGCCTGAGTGTCTCTACCCTCTTGAGGGCCACATTTGTCCTGGGAGTGGTGGGGGGCACACTCTTCTATCCTCCCTGCTCCTCTGTGAGAATATTTTAAATGGACCCTCCTCCTGCTCTGGAGTCTATGCCTCTACCTGTCCTTTGTAATGGTGTCTTTGGTTTTAGAGAGCTCTGTCACAACCCAGTGCTCTCTCCCAGGTTGACTTCCTAAACCGTTGTCCCTGCTACATTCTCAAGGGATTCCTCTGCCACCCAAACACTTAGATACCTTAGATCACGAGGGCATGCAGATGAGAGATGTTCCTAAAACCTCACTGGTTCCTCCTGTCCCTCGCTTCCCTGCAGGGATATTCAAGCTTTACCTGCCAATCTCACAAACACTTTCTTTGTTACACTGTCCTCAAGTTCCTTCTCTTCCTGGACCATTGTCCCCTGGTTTTCCAGCCTTCATCGGTCAAGACAGTTTCTGTAGACTTTCCCTCCTTATTTCTTACCACAGAGCTTGGTGGGGCCAAGATGAGTTTTCCTCATTTGAGGCAGGAGAAGGTAAAGAAAAGGCCAACTTAGACCAGTTAGAGTATTTTTACTTCCCCTAATTATTTTTTTCTCACAAAGAGAAATTCCCAAAATGTGGGTGCCAGTAGGTGTTACCCGAAAACAGCTTCGTAGACAAGTAAGTGTGAGAAACTGTCAAATCACTTTTGTCCTACGGAAAATCTTCAAGGGTTAAAGTGACAATAGGCAGTTGTTAGTTACCTGTTGTCACATAACAAACTGCCCCCAGGTTAGCAGCTGAGAACACTGTCCCCTGCTTCAATGGGTCAGGAGTCAGGGGAGGGCCAAGTTAGGTGCTTGCTTGGGTCTCAAAGGCTGCAGTCACCCGAAGGCTTGGCAGGCCCTGGAGAATCAGCTCCCAAAACACCAGGCTGGTGACTGATGTTGGCTGTCGGTAGAGATGGCAGTGTCCAGCCACATGACTGGGGTCTGGGGTTTCTCATACTATACCAATGTATTAGTCAGAGTTCTCTAGAGTCACGGAGAACTTGTGGAATGAATGAATGAATCTCGCTCTCTCTCCTTATATAGATATGGAACTTATTGGAATGACTTACGGGCTAGCTGTGAATGCAAAGTCCAAGAATCTAATAGCTGCTCAGGCCCACAAGGCTGGGTGTCTCAGCTGATCATCTGTTGGAGTACAGAAGTAGGTCCCAATGCCAGTGAAGGAATTGATATGTTCAAGACAGAGGCAAGAACGGCCCTTCCTTCTTCCATCATCCTGATATGGCTTCCAGCAGAAGGTGTGGCCCAGATTAAAGGTGTCTTCCAGTCTAAAGGTCCGAATTAAAGGCTCAGTGTCTTCCTGCTTCAAGATCTGGATCACAGGTGTGCCCTCCATTTCTGGATTGTAATTCATTCCATATATAGTCAAGTTGACAACCAAGAATATCCATCATAGCGACTGAGTCTCCTCAGAGTAAGCGACTGAAGAAGCAGGGAAGCCACAATCTCTCACACTTGTGCCTTAAAAATCAGATACCATCAAATAGGCACTATCAAATAAGTCACTTCCTTTATGTGGGAGGTGTGTGAACTGAGGCTGGATCACTCTGGAGACCACCCCAGAGGGGAGCTAGTGTGATTCACTAATAATGTGCTTATTTGAAAACATAACCAATGATTAATAGGGCATTCCAAGATACTGGAATATGATTTGGCGGAAAAGTACCAGGATGGCCATGGTGGGGAATAAAGGTCTCACAGGCTCTTGAATGGAGGTCGAGAAGTGTGCCTGTCTAGAAGAGCCTTGAAACTGGGACGAGAGTTCACATTGACTGGTGACTTCCGGAGTGGTGGAAAAGCTTGTATCCTGTGGGAACTGGGACTCCAATTAAGGAAGACCCATGGGTCTAGAAAGGCAAGCACAAGACTGTGGGACAGCGCCTAATGGCTTGAACTGTTGACAGTCTTGAAAGCTGTTTACTTCCTCAGTGCTTCATCAAAGATGGGGAGGGATAACAAAGCTCACAGGCAGAAAGGAAGACCTTTATCACAGACTCCCTGAAACGAGACGATCCAGAGGCCTCAGCCATTCCAAGCCTGCAGCAGGCTCAAGGCAAACCTCACATTTGGTGGCCTTGTGTGTGCAAAGCGTTCAACTCGAGCTCTTCATGATAGGAAATAATACTATGCAAGGTTGCCCGATGGCTCAGATCACAAAGGCCTCGTTCTTCCCTGCCTCGTTTGCACAAAGGCTCGTGTTTGAAAAGTTCTGGTCTGGGATTGGAGCCACCCTGCTTGAAGGAAATGAGTTTCCATCAGATGTTTACAGTGACTGTATTCGCAGATGCAGAAGAGGAAAAAAAGAAAAAGAAAGAAAGCTTGGAAAGGCTAGAGAGAATGGAGAAGTAGCCGTGGGAAAGGCAAGGAGCAAGACAAAAAGGAAGCATCGATTACAGGCCTACACCTCACCTGAAGATTCTGAGATTTGTTTATCCTCCCCTGCCACCAAAACTCCCCACCCACTCCTGTCCCAGCTCGCCAAGGTCTAGCGGACCCCAACAACACTTTCGCAGCCCTTGGCCACAAGGTGGCACTCTTTGGACTTTCTTCCTCCCGCTCCCTCCCACCAAAAAAAAAAAAAAAAAAAAAAAAAAAAAAAAAAAAAAAAACTAAGAAAGGAGGGGAGAGAGGAGGGAGCAAAGACACCGCACTGCCCCAACCAAGAACAATTTGCAAACCCACCCCATCATTCTTAAAATCTAGGACAAAGAGCCCTCGGGACGGAACTGCTTCGACTGCAAAGCTACACGCTCAGCCCGGGAGCGGCCTGACGGCCCGAGTCCAGCCTCTCCACGGAGTAGAGCGCCCTGGGGTCCCTGAAACCCGAAACCCCAGCGCAGAACCGGCGGAAACCAGAGTGAAACCCTTGAACTTTTCTGGACAATTGCTTCCGGGCGTTTCCAGGCAGCCAGGGGACCCGTCGGGAGGCCCGGCCGCGTATGGCGAGCCCCTGAGGTCCTGCAGACGCAAGAGAGGCCAGCGCTCCGGCTGCAGCATGGACCGCGCGGGGTGTCTGGGTGCGGGCCTGCGGGGACTCTGCGTGGCTGCGCTCGTGCTCGTGTGCGCCGGGCACGGGGCACGCCGCGAGGACGGGGGACCAGCTTGCTATGGGGGATTCGATCTCTACTTCATCCTGGACAAGTAAGTGCTTAGAGGATGCTGCTGTCTGTCGGGTGGTCCCCAGGGACGCCACTGCTGGGCTCCCGTCCCCAGGTGCAGGCAGTCCCTGCTGCTTTGCCTGCTTTTCTTGCTGTCCCTGGCCCCAAGCTTGCGAGTCCCAGGAGGATGCAGTTGACTCTATTTGTCTGATTGCTTTCCACCTTGGTGATGAGGGATTGCAACCTGAGTAGAACTTACAAACACTTCCAAAGTAAGAGACAAGGGTGTTCTTCAAAGCTAGCCATCTCCTTTTACAAATGTTCGGTCACAAAATGCAGTCTTTGTTCTCGTGGCTTGATGCCTGATGACCCTGGGCACTTAGTGGAAGTCCAAGTCACGGATTCTCTTACCCCTGGGATTCCAGCTGGTCCCTTTGTAGGGACCTCAGCCTTGTAGGGACTGAGTACCATCCCTGCCCCCTACCCTAGAGACAGATGCCAGTCTCACTGCCACCCTTCCTCCTGAGTGGCGTCAACCATTGCTTTCAGATACTGGCAAATGTCCTAAGCGCCCTTTGCCTTCAGAGCTGAGATGTAGGTAAATTTGGGCTTTTGGCTTTTTGACTGATGGGCTGCCAGGGAAGCCAGCATGGTTGGCCTTCTGACTAAAATGGACTTTGCTTTAAGGGAGAAGGGAGTTAAGACCAGTTCAACACTTTCCAGATCCCCACAGGGCTGCCAAGCCACAGTCACTCAAGTTCGCTTATGGGCGCTCAGCTGAAAAGCAGCTCCAACAATAAAAGGTCCGTTAAGATCCGGGCTCCTTAGATCTGTGCCGGTGCCAGGAGAGGCGCTTGCAGTTACAGTGGTGGGGAGATGAATTTCACAGACTGGAAAGTATTTGGGAGTTGGAACAAGAGTCCTGAAAAATAAGCTGGCCGCTGGACACCAAATGTGCTTCGCAGTTGCTGCTGGGGTTTGGTTTTTCCGTAGAGACTGTTTTGAACTCCAGATTCTTTGGATAAAAAGTGAGATCTCTTTCTTACAGATTTATGAGAAGGTGGATACTTAAAACTCAGGCCCAGGCTAAGAAATGGAAAATCTTTTGTTGCTTTAGCAGGTGGGAGCCGGAGCTCCTGGGTCAGAGAAACTCTGGGACTCTGTCTGAAACCAAAGATGCTCCCCATTGTGCTCCTTAAGAGGGCTTGAGGGCTGCATTTCAGTAGAATCCTTGCCCAGAACGCCCAGGCCTTGTTCCCTAGCACCTCAGAAACCCATAAACTCACTGTGGTGTTGCTGGGCATGCCTATATGCCTGCAGTAGGGAGGTGATCCTGGGTTCCTGAGCTACATAGTGAATTCAAGGCCAAACTAGGTTACCTTAGACTCTGTCTCAAAAGAAACAAAAATCATAGCATCACAGATCCTAAGGAATCCATGGGGAAACTTGAAACGTGAACAAACAAACAAACATCACCATTTCCCCAGAGGTCTGCCGGGTGCTGTGAACATGACCAGGTGTCCTAAATCTATAATTTGAGTTCAACTTTTGGTTCAATTTATAAACGAATTTATTGAGGTGATGGAGGAATCTTGGCAGAATCATCTTAGAATTATTTCTGGGGGGGGGGACCAAGCCAAAGGCTATACAACATTTTGGGGAAAGAATAATAAAGACAATTTCTTAGCAAATATAGAAATGTCTTAGAAAGCAAATTAATGAAAACAGTTTGGTGAAGTTCAAAGTGTATGTGTACAAAGTAGAAGAATATATAAGTACCTGTGAGTGCTTGGTGGAATTTCAAATAAGTGGGGAATGAGTTCCTTATTTCTAAAGATGTTCTTTGGCAAATGGTGAGGAATGTCTGTGTAGCCTCAGGTTTACACCTTACAGAGAATGACAGGAAGAAAACACAGGGAGATTTGAATATATAAGTGAAAGACAGCATAAGTGAAATGTAGTAAGATGAAAACGTTTTTGCAACCTAATTTACTCTCTGAAGTCTGACCTTAGTATGGAAAAGCTGGTTAGAAATCAGCCTTATGTCATAATTTCCCAAGGAAAAAAATATGTGAAAGTTAATACACGAACAAAAACATTCTGTTTCACTAGTAATTAAAGAAATGGAAAAGACCAAACCTGATTCTGTTCTTATTAGGTTGGCAGAGAATTTTAAAACATCACAGTGTCCAGTATTGGCCACCTGTGTCCTGTCTTTCTAGGGACAGTATAACTTATGGTCTTTGTGGACTTGAACTGCAGGGTCGAATTTTCTAGAAGGACAGAAGTGTTCTGTGTTCCTGTTGTCCAGAACAGTAGCTACTCACCATATGTGGTCCCCATGCAAATGAGGACGTGAACTTTTAATTTTGTTTAAATTAAATAGTCACATGTGGTGGCCATGTGAGCGGTGCCAGTGAGGCGGTGCCTCGGCAGGAAGTAGCACAGGCTTTTAACACAGCTAAGGGGCTGCTTTCCCATCCAACAAGGCCTTACCTTAAAAAGAAGAAAGAAAAGAAAAGAAACGCAGTCAAGAAGGAGCCCTTCCTATGTGTCTATGGTATTGAGGTTTATAGTAAAAAACTGAGAATTACCTAAATGTCTAACAATGGGATTTCAGTTAGACATGAAATATGCAGAGTACTGTTTATCCATTGCAGTTTGTGCATGTTTGCAAGATATTTTAGGAGAAATATATAATACTTACACTATTATGTTTCCAAACATTGTGTGCATTCCACCTTTGTAAGCAGTGAGGCCAGGCTTGATGCCAACCCTGGGGAGACCAAGGCCAACTAAGGCTCAGTAACTAGATCCCATCTCAGAAAAGTGCAAGACAAAGCCACCACCTGCATATGCCTGTCTGGACTTCCTATTAGGATAGAATTCCTCTCTAGAAGTCAAGAGTTTTAACTTCTGAATTTGCAAATTTCTCTGCAATAAACGTACCAATTTTATGTTCAACAAAATATGATTTTGAATTCTTTTTATTTTTTTTGGTTGCTGTTATTTGGTTTTGGGTTTTTTCTTTTCTTTTTCTAGAGGCAGGGTTTCTCTATATAGCCCTTGACTGTCCTGGAACTTGCTCTGTAGACCAGGCTGATGTCAAACTCATGGAGATCTGCCTGCCTCTGCTCCCTGAGTGCTGGGACAAAGGGTGTGACCCACCACCAGGCAATTTTGAATTCTTAAGAAATGTGTGGAGAGGAGCTCTGGCCAGTGAACTGAGTTCCCAACCCCTCACTGTTCAATTCTAAGCCTCTGTCTTCCCACCAGCATCTTTCTGGGTTATTTTTATGCTGAATGAAAAGCTCACTAGAACTTTTACGTTGTGTGTACACCTCCAGCTTGTCACCCACACCCAGGCAAGTTGATGTGATTTCTAAGTCCAGAGCTGGAGGATGGGCCACCAGGCCGGCATGGCAAACAGGCCACAGGGTAGTCCCTCCAGACAAAGTCCTCTGTCCTGGAAAGGAACTCCCTAGACACCACTGTGCATCACCAGACCGCAGCAAAGTTGGAAGGGAAAGAATGCTGACTTGGTTTGTGCTTGGGCTTCTGAGCCCCTTGGCTGCTGGGGTGGCTAGCTACAGGCAGAACCGCGGGTCACAGGGAGCTGAGTCTGTGGCTGCTCTCCCCACCCCGGTAATTCCCTTCCCTCCTACAGTCAGTTCACTTTTCTGTGGCATTAAAGCTCAGCTCATTTCAGCTTTGAGTAGGGTGCATCTCTGGCCTGGAGAGAGACCAGATTGTATAGTTAATGGAACGTCATGTTTTTTCAACCAGGAGCAAAGACTGTATAATGATAACCCAGAACACCACAGTAACACAATAGGGCGTTATTAGCAGCTCTGGCAACTGGGCTGCACAGGGCTTTACACTGATGGAATTTCATGTTTATATAAACATGCTTTTCTGGTTATGGCTGGGAAGAGTAATTTGCTGGGAATTCAATCAGGGATGTGAAAAGTCAGATTTGGAAGGCCCCTGTCCAGAGAAGAACAACAGAGCATCTTTTAAATCTCCCAGGGGGTCTTCAGTACCCACCATGGACATGGTTGTACTTTTCCTTCCTGGCAGGGCCCTTTGTCACTGCAATGTGCATTTACACACCACATATTAATCTTCTTCATGTAGAAGGAGAAGGCAGATTTTTCCATCTCCAGTCTCAGGGAAGTGCTGGCCATGATACGTGTGCCATAAAGACTTAAAAAATAGAATAGTAAGAAAAGAGCAGGGGTAGGGGGTGGGGCTACAGGGCGAGACTTACTTTTTACTCAACCTAAGTCTCTATCTCCTTTCCCCAAACAAAGTAAGCCCATCTTGTCACTTTCTCAGATTTCCACTGGGTGTTTTGAGGTGTGCTGATTGCAGGGTTGTGAGGGAGTGTGGGACCCCAGGGACATGGACACTTAAGTAATAGATACGGAGAAATATTTGTCATCCTAGACTGGAACCTGCCTATGTAGAGTATTGTTTTTCTGTGGAAAAATCTGGGTTCCTAACAATTAGCTTACAAAGGAAATTTTGAAAGTCCAAATTTAGGTGAGCATCCCAGCCTCTCGTGTGCTTTCGCAAGGCCCGAGGTAGCTGCTGGTAGGTAGACAGATGGTCCCTATTTTGTAGATGGGAGAAACTTTTGTTCAGACCCCGACCAACCCATTGTTAGAACTGCCTACAATCAGGACTAGATCCTGACAGAGCAGCAGAGCAGGACCTTGTCTGCTCTGGCCTCCCAGCCTGACCCTTTCTCCTCATCTTTACCCTGTGCTCTTGGGCTGTAATGAGAAACACATGTCAGTACAGCCAGTGAGATCCAGTAGGTTCCAGAAATTGAAAAATCCCTGCACCATGATTCAGTAAATCATGGAGCCCAAGCAGTTAAGACTGCTTAATTATAGAGCAGCTACTGGACCACTGTTCATCAGTTACAGCTGGTAGGAAATTCACATGCTCCTGCCTCCACCCCCTCCCACCTCCCAGAGACCTGGGGCTAGTGATTCTCACTCTGGGGTGTGATCAGTGCCTGGGAGTATTCTGCAC